TAACTTCAAAATCTCCAAATACAAGATATTTAGTAAAGCAGAAACCTGTCTATATGACCCAACTCCTATTTATACAGTGGTACCTCGGGTCACGAACGCTTCTGTTCACAACCAATTCGGGTCATGACCAGAGTCGCGGAACGAATTAAGTTCGTGAACCGAGGTACTACTATAGTTCCCACACAATGCTCACTCAAAAATGGCAAATCCCATGGGCATCACTCAGTTCCATCTACTTTCTCTCATCACCAAATACAATCTCATCTGTAGCCACTGCCCCCAAATTAAGAGCACCTTCGGTCTGCCAAAAGTTTGCCCACTCTTGCAGTTGAGAAACTTACCTGGAAGTCACGGATAAAAGTGAGGAAAAAACTGAGGACACTGGAAGCCAAAGACCATTCAGAAATTGTGCTAATAATATGGAAGACATATCCCTGTAGAAGACATTAAAAAAAGTATTATGAGAGTGCTTCTCAATGATAGAACATCATTAGTTCTAATAGTGAACTCAGGTAATGAAAACCAATAAACAGCACAATAAAGTTCCTTATTTTACATTCATTCTATTAGAATGTTTACACTACTGACTACTGATATATCTTGGTAGTTTACAATTAAAACATAAAACCAAATTAAAACCAATATATTAAGAAGTAAGACTTTCAACAATTAAAAAGCTGCAAGTTCTGTTTCAAGGTCTTTTTAAAAGCAGTCAAAAGGCCTTAAACAACTATAGGGGAGACTGACTAGAGGTTAAAGAGAGCATCACACTTTTCCTTTAGTTCCATTATGTATATATGTTTATGTACATTTAAAAGATCCCAGTCTAGTGTCTTCCAGACAGACAATGCTCAGGGAGCTTGGCCTTTGATGATGCTGCCTAGAGATTATGGGAGCTGAATTTGGGAAGGCTTTAACGTATGCTGAACAGATGCAATAACAAATTAAACAAAAGCAGGGAGAAAGACAATTTATTACCTAACTCTGGAAGTCTATTAATGGATACTAAACACGGTGTGTATGTATATACACACACACACACACACACACTCTTTCTCTATGTTCAGAGGTGTTATAATACTTGCTGGGGCTCAAAATAAAAGACCTTTTGTTCATGCCCTGCCTTTGAGCTTTCCAGAAACATCCGGGAATAAAGCTTTGGTCTGATCCAACAAAAAAGCTCATCTTATGTTTACATTTCTGCAATTGGTGCTGAAGTTGGAAAATGATGGCAAGATATAGGCCACATTACTCATGAATAATACGAGAAACACCCTGCCAGAGACAAAATAGATGAGTTCTACTACCACTTTTATCTGTTAAAATATAAATTAAAGAGGCTAGACCAGCTACTTTGGATCTTTTTTTAAATCGCAGTAATGAAGCAAACTGTAGACTTCAGTCTTGTTACTGGCATCTTGCTTATATTTGTGTGTGTGAACTAGGGTATGGTATTTTGGGGAAATAACATAAATACTACAATGCATTAAAAAAGTTTGGAATGTCTTCTGCAATCTACTGGACACATTTCCTTTGTATCTTCTCTCTGTTGTCTTTTAAGAAAAATCAAACTTACTTTCTCTTGGGGATCCCAATGCTGCTTCCATAGGGAGTCTATTCCATTTAAGTTGAGTAAAATGAATGAAGAAATAGACACTTTAATCATTAAGGAATATCTTGGAAACACAGAGGAAATAGCCTTGCTCTCCATCCATCCTTCCTTAACCCCATTTGTTTTTCTTTGATTTAAAGGCTGAGACTATGTCACAGGCAGGTTTCGAGAAGAGATGGTGTAATCTTTAGTTTGAATGGTTTTCTTTTAGTCATCTCTAGTTTGCCCCATCCGTTTGAAGTATGCCAATAATGCAGCAAATGCCCCATCTGAAGCCTAATCAGTACAAAATATAGACATACCATTTCAATCATTCAGAAAATTGTTCTTAAGGATCAGGGAATTCTCCAGAAACCCATGAGATGTGGGTTAAGAGGATGCAAATGAGAAGAGAATCAACAGAAACAGGGACTCTATCAACAACACAGCCTCTAAAAATTAATATATTAAATGATATAAATAATATATTGCATACATGTTTATATTTTTATGTTTATATATACATCAAAATACAGATAAAGATTTACCTATTCTTGTAAAATATTGTATTATGAAATCCTTTTCACAACCAATACACGTAATATGAATGAAATAATATGAACGCAATGAATACTTAACAATGAAGACTAACAAATTATTAAGGCATAAACTTTTTAGATTCCAATCCATTTCATCAGCTGCATGGAATATTATCCTGAGATAAAATACATTAATAAGGGCAATAAACAATGAAGTCAGGTAGAACTCATGATAGTGATAAAAGTTTTTTTCAATCATACTATATGCGTTAATTCAGCAATATGAAATTATCTATGTCACACCCAGTAACCGTTTCATGAATCGCAACTATATGTTCTATATATTATTTCCTTCTGACTTAATTTGTTATCTTTCTGCATCACATACCATAAGCTATATAATCCTATCTGAAATAATATCTCATGCAACTGGTGAAATGAATTGTAGACCATGGAAACATATGCTCATGAATTTGGTAATTTTTAAAGATACAAAAGATATTCTATTGTTTTTGTTGTAATGGCCTAACACAGCTACCTCTGGAAAACAAAAAATAAAGCTTCCAAAATGTATATATGTTGTGATCTTTTCCAGCATTGCTATAAAGTGGTCAGTTTAACCACCTAAAAATAAAGTATGTTTCATTAAAACAGACTTTTAAGAAATACCTCTCATTCATCACTTGCCTGTTTTACCACAAAGGATACTACTCACTGTGCTGACTGTACACCATAGCAGTATTGTCAATCTGATCCAAAAAATATCCTTCCCATGAATTTGTGGCTGCATCTTATAGGAAATAATTGTCTGAACCAAAATATATATGATTCCAATTCCAAATGTGAGGAAAGCTCCAAGTGAATGCATGAAACGTATAACATTCTTCTGAAGGAAAACAACATAATTCAATGGTTTTCAGAGAACACTGGGGTAATGCTTGAAAGGTTCAAACAATATAACATAACTGAATCTTTGAATGGAGTCCCTCAAAATTACCAGAACTTTGATTCAATAACAGGTAGTGGTAACTGCAAACCAACATAAAAACCTAGAGATTTATAATTTATTTATAATTTATAATTACTGGAAGGTCATTATTTCTAATTAAGAGCAAGATTACAATGGTATATATCCTAAAGACAGCAATTTTGCTAAAAGCAGGCAACTTTATTTCATGAGGTTTTTCCCAAACAACAACATCTAGTCAGTTAAATTATTAATTTAAGGAATTAATTTTCCTTTTTTCTTTTGTCAAGTTATAAATCTGTGAAAAAGAATTTTGCTTTTTCAATTTTTCTGAATGTGTGTATATTTTTGCCGCTGAATATTGTCAGAGCTCCTACTCATATATAAGGGAATTTGAGGGGCAAAAATAACACCATCAAAGCCGGGTGTTGACTTCATTTATTTCCTAAACAAAGTGCCAGAGTGAAAAATTAATGAATCTCCTGGTTCAATCAGTTCAGTTAAAGGAATCGCTAGCTCCAATTGTCTGAGTACTTCATTAAACAATCAGGATTAATAAGAGATTTCTGAAGATGTCCATTAAAAAGAAATTGATGCCTATCAATCTGGAAAAGATTACAAAACAATTTTGAAAGTCTGAGGCTTCACCAATTTACATTCAGAGAAGTAGCTGTGAAATAAGACTTGGGACAATATTGAATTTTCCAAAGATTGGGTATCCTGTCAAAATCACGCTAAGAGAGTAGCATAAAATTGTCCATGAAATCACATACCAAAAAAAAAAAAAAGACAACATCCAGGGATTTGCAGGCCTCTTTTGTTTGTGCAAAAAGTGTTTTTGACTCCATGATAAGAAAGTCACTGGGTAAAATGGGATTCATGGGAAAGAAGCAAGGTTCTTTGCTCACTAAAAACACTGATGCTTATCTGAAGTTTGCCAAAAAGCAACTGGATAACCAGCTAGATTCCAGGAGGACAGATAAGTCAAAGTGGAGCTTTATGGACTACCTAGTCATTATGCCTGGTGGAAACCAAACACTGAATTTGATAATAAGGACCAGCTGTCAAGCATGGAGTTGGTAGTGTCAAAGTTTGAGGATACTTTATTGCTTCAGGACAAATTGCCATCACTGAAGGACGTATGAATTTTGCTTTGTATCACATCATTTTATAGATTATCAGCCCATTTTCCATAAGCTGAAGCACAAATGTGTCATACACCAAAAGAATGTCAAACCTACAATTAAGTCTACAAAAGAATGAATGGAAAAGAATAAAATGTTTCAAAATGTTTTTGAATGGCTCAGTGAGTGTCTAAAACTAAACCCCACAGAAATTCAGCAGAGCCTGAAGCAAGCAGTTTTTGCTGCAGATCCTCAAATATTATTGGGTTTAAACAAGTTGCCATGGAGGAATGTACAAAAATGCCTGAGCAGCAATGTGAGACTGATCAACAATTATGGGAAGAATTTGGTTGCAGCTGATGCCAGAGTGGGTGCAACCAGTTACAGTATTGAATTGAGGGAGGCAATTACTTTTTCACAAAGGTACTTTGCATGTTGGATCACTATGTTTATGAAATAAACAAGCACTAAATGTTGGGGTTATCTGCTTACTCAGACTTCCTTTATAGATCAGTATGACTGACTCATAACATTCAGTGGCAAATATATGCAGAAATTCAGAAAAACTAAAAGGGGCCAATATTTTTCACAGGACTATAGATACAAAAAGTATTTTCCTCTGCTGATAGTATGTAGATATTCATTCATAACTTTTTAAATCTCACCTTCCCTTTGCATTTTAGTTAATTTATAATAGTCATTGAAAGCAGCTGCCTCTAATTCTGCAGCCAAAAAGAATGTGCCATTTATATCCTGATTTTCCTTCAGTGAGATCAGGCTGGTATATATGCCATTTCCAGGTAGTTGATCATTAGGCATCAAGTCAGATAGGCTTAACTTCAAGACATTATCTCCATTGTGTGTTCTCAGATATGTCTCACAATGACCAACACTGAGAGGTATATTGTGACTAACCCAAGACTATTCAAGGAGCTCCAAGGCTGAGCAAGGATATGAACTCTTCTTTCTCCCCAACTCAGCATCATACTGGTCATCTATCTTTGGCTCTAAAGGAATACTTTGGTGCAATATCCTCCCATTTTAAGCCCAAGTGTGAGATCTCAAATAGTAAGTATTACTGCCATTGCAATGAGAAATGCCAGACTCTAACATCACATTCAAAACAGACTCTAACATCACATTCAAAACTGCATCTACTTCTGCATAAGATCATTTGTAATTCATTTGTTCTTCATGAAGTAGTGTGGTGAAGGAATTAAGTACGTAACATTAAAATTAGAGAGGCTGAGATTCAAATCCATACTTGGCCACAAATCTAATAAATTACCTCTGGTCAGTTGCTATTTCTCTGCCTTAACACATTCCATAGGACTCTACAGAATAAAACTTAGAGGAAAGAAGGAGTATAAATTTAATAAGTATTTTTAAAAATATTTTTTGTGTTTCAAACCTAATTAAGAGGTGAGGAATAAGAGAGTTGGAATTAACTTTGATATTTAGCACCAACAATCTGCCTACCTTTTGGAAAGAAGGGCACCTTCTAGACCAGAAAAGATACTTTAGAGAATTTTGATAAGAAACATAATTAATGTTTGGAAAACAAAATCAATTATTTTCCACAAAATAAATATCTCCAGTCTGCTTTTAACAGCTTACAAAGTTTAGAAATTCAGATGGTCCATCCAGCTACAGTCAGAATATTTATTCAATGGGAACAGGTTACAAACATAGAGTAATTTATCTCCTCTCTCCTTACTCACCTTGAGGTTTTTTTTTTTAATTCTTAAGAGCTACAGTATACTGTCACCTAGTGTTCATGACACAAATTGTATCTGATACTTGGAAAAATTATAAAGCACCAAATAAACAATAAAGAACATTACTAGCAAATGCTCACAAGCACACTGCTAATTATGAGAGATGTAAAAAAAAATGCTGACATTTTAGTCTAGCAGTGCCAAATATGTGTTACATTTCCTTAAAGTACAGCTCACCGGTTGTCAGGACTTAATTATTCTGCTAAATTGCTATTTCAGAGAGAATGTCAGATTAATTTGTACTAAAACAATCCTTTTTAACTGTAACTATATTCATAATAATGTAATATTTTGCTTGCAAATATATCCATTTAAAAAATATTATATGGCCTAAATAAAACAAAACCATTCCAAAAAGTGGCAGTTTGTCCCTGGACACTTGAGCAATTTATATTTATTTAATTTATACCCTGCTGCTGTATGGTAAGTAAAGTTAAGAATAAATACAGAAATGTACTCTGTATTTAAGAAAAGTGACTGTAAAAGCTAATCAACACCAATCAATAAAAGGTGCTTCCTAGTGGACACATACTATTCAAAATATATTGTGCATTTTTACTCCGTCTCTTACTCCTTATTTTCTGGAAACATGGAAGAAATGGTGGGAAAAGACAATGATGTTCCAAATGTCAAACAGTATCACACTTACCTTTCTTATCAACCCTCATTTGGGCACATCCTAAGAATAAGCTAATACAGCCTTATGATGAATACATGTACTTTTGTAATTCCCCCATAATGAGAGACAAAGCACAAACCTGGAAGTTTGCAATGATGCAAATCCCCAAACAGCTAACCATTCCTATCACTAAGCCAGCCTTATTTAGTCTGAGCATCTTGGGTTCTTCAGGGTTCAAAGCACTGACTTGTTTGTACCGGACGTACATGGTAGCCATGCCTGTGAATGAACAATTGAAGCAAAGTGAGGACAGAGGAGTATGCTATTGAGTGCAATGAAGACAAGTAATTATTATAGCCACATGAAAATAGTGGTCTTTTATGCAAAACCTAATAAAAGAAATGTAGAAATAAATTAACTGTCTGAAGGCTCACTTCATGCTAAGCATAATATAAGAGGTTTGGAGAAACTTGGCTAACCATGATTTTTGAACCCAGCCATTCAATAACTGTGGTTAAGTAACCAAAGCTTACTACATTCTATGAATGTAAAATAGAGAATGAGATGATCTTTAGCTATTCCTTCAATATATTAAAATCCTGTGCTCCCCAATTCTGCTCAGGTAGTGTTGGAATAGATTTTCAGACTATTCCATTAAAGTAGATGCAACTCTACTTAGTTCTGTATACTATCTGTATAGCTGTTTCAAACTTTAAGCTCTGTAAATACTGTACTGTTTTGGTCTCAATTGCACATACCATTTGCATTGTCACAAACATCTTTCAGTGCTTATCCCTTTCCTACAGTTAAGAATTCTCATCAAAGCCCACATCTAAGCAACTTTCACAGAAGCTCAGTATTCTTTTTACTTACCCAAGAAGGAAACAAAACTTAACATTATTCCAAACAAGCATCTTTCTGGAGGCATTGCCCCTGTATCACTGAAAGATAAGCAACTTGTGATATTAAGCTTCCTGTGATGCAATTAGAATGACAAAACTTACCAAATGCACACCACCACCACCCCCAAATTATTAATGTTGACACTGACACGTGATGTTGTATGAGTAAAGATAAAGTCATAAAGAGTCCTTCTATGACTACGTGGATACTTGCAGGATAGTGGTTTGCCATTGCCTCCAAGATATATTTTTAAATTCCATATCTAGCCTACACACTCAGGGGTCTTAGGAACTACTACCAGATCTGACCCTGCTGAATTGTTTAGAATCAGCTAAGGTCAGCCATGTAACTGTGAAATATGGCACTAATTATTTTTCTCCCTTTTCAAAATATATTCCCTTTTTTATTTCAAACTGCATTGAAATAGTTTATCATATAGTAAACAGAGCACAATTATATTTACCAAAGGATATACAGTTAACAACAGGAAATGCTTAATTATCAATCATGCTAATATTTACATAGCACAAGCAGTTATGCATGTTTTCATATAGTCCATTCAGAGTGACTTAGGAATGTTGATAAGATATAAATCTCAGTCTTAATGTTTCTTCTCAGTTTCACTGAACACTGAGCTAAAATAGTCTTCCAGTGTTGAAATCCAAGAACGCTACTGAAGTTCCTAAATAGTGCCTGATGTCAGCCATGGATAAGATAAATAATAGTGAACTTATGCTTTAATAAGTCAAATGGCAGCTCACTTCTATTTTAGAGAGAAAATCATACTATAGATATTAAAATATTAAAAACTTCCTTCAATTATATAATGATACTTGGTCTCATTTACAACCCAGGCTAGGCTATTATTTTCTAGGTAATATGTAACAGATCAGACATCTTCTTAATAGATTTTGTAGTCTTACAATTCATGAGCAAACACTAATTTTTGAGCAGCAATTAGGTTAAATTGCTTTAGGGCCAAGGCTTGCTCTAAAACAGAAGAAGCAACTTGAACGAGGAAGAGAAAGAAAACACTGTACCTTGTTTAACATTGTACATTCATATCCCCAAACCCCTCCATTCTTTAATAAATTACATTGCTAGTACAATGAACTTCAGCTCCTGGAACATTTCCCTTAAAAAACAATATCACACTAGAGCCTGGATGCTATTCTTCAAGGTCCTCTTTCTCCCTAGAAATAGACATAACTATAGAGAGTAAGGCAGATGATCTTGGCGGGACCATTACCTAGGCAAAAGGGTCTGAAACATTTTTTAAGTCCAGAGCAATGAGGTAACACTCAGAAGTGGTTCAGGCAGCACCTCCTTAATTCACTGAAGTATAAGAAGTAGGAGGTACCACACAATCAGATTTGCAAGATTCTGTTATCATAACCAATCCCAATAGTTTCAGCCTTCTTGTGGAGTTGGTTGTCTGGTCTACCTAGTGGGGCTGACAATAACAGTCCTGGGATGGATACACATACACACACACACACACACACACACACACACACACACTTCACCTACAAACCTTGGCCAAATAAAGAAAACTCAGAAAATAGTATCTTTAAAAAAAAAGATCTGAGAAATATTTAAAGTTTATAAATACTATTGTTACAGCACAATTATTCTTGTGCTATTGTTTATTTGAAAGGCTAATGTTGGATTTAGGCTGTTAAATTTTAGTTGTTTTACAACAGTTTTCTTGCAAAATACAAAATTATCCAATGATAGCTTAAACTACTTATTACATTAAATAGTGAAAAGCTCTCAAGATATTGGATGACTGGTTATAAATTCATCACAGCAAAGAGATCTAACTGACTTGCTTTAGAACTAGAAACTGGTCTACTAAAGACATTAAGAGTTTCAGCCTATACCTTGGTCTCCATGGCTCAGAGCAACAACTATACCCTTACAAGAGACTACCCAAACAGAATTAAGACTTAGTTCTGCAGTCAAAATCTACACCAAATATCTGTACTTTACATCTCAAAATAGTAAAAAATTATTTTCATAGTTCCTGCATTTAGAATCAGCTGTTTGCAGTTCTACCAATGATTAGCTAGAGACTTAAGAAAGAATCTGGAAAATATAAGAATTTAAATTTACAGCAAAATTGGATGTGGTGGAGATAGGAGAAGGAAAAGAACAAGCTTTTGTACAGTATTTTCAGAAGTAAATGAAAGTTCAGATATAAATTCATCATCATTATAGAGTTGTAATATACAACAACAAAACCAAGATGATAAAACTTGACATTATTAGAAATTAAATATAGTGGGCTTATGAACACCTTGGAAATGATCCAATAAGCACCTTTATTGTGAACTTCCACAATGAATGGGAACCATACAAAACCAGCAGTGTATTCCTGTGCTCTCCTCATTCCAATTTAGTTCAAGGCGTTTCCAAAAGAGATTTCTAAGCACACTCATCCTTGTTTCACAGATTAGATACCGGGTCTGATTTTTTTAACTGATACAAGCCATTTTGGAAAACATTAAGTGTCTGAAAAAATATATTAAAAGTAAGCAAATAAATATGGAAATACATTTGATATCCTGCTTCCTCAGTTTCAATGGCAAGCTTTTGCAAATCTAATTATAAGAGCAAGGGAAAGGGGTAAGAATCACTTCAATATGCATATATAAATGTGTTACATGTGTAAAGACATACAGTATGTAAGTGTGCATGTCCATGTGTCTTATGAATATATTATGTGGAGGAGGGAATCTGACTCTATCCATTTTGATAGGGGGGGGGGATCCCAGCAAGTTTTGTTAGAAGAAAACATAATGAAGAAAAAAAAAATTTCCACTCCTGCTGTTGTCTTTCAAATTCACAAGAAGTTAATTTACATTAAGTTTGGCATTTCATTTTATAACAATATAAAATTATTAAATGCCATGGCTTTTAATTTATATTCATTTTTTAAAAACATTAGGATGAAAAACAGGAGAGTAAGAAAGGTTTCCTAGAAATAATATTGTGATGTAAATTACAGTGCAAAAATACAAAACATACTGACCTGATATAGGGTACCAAAGGGTCAACATGATATAAGAGGACTCCAATAACATATGGAAACACAAAAGAAGCAGATGAGCAAATAACCAGGGCAGAAGGCAAGAAACTCAGTCCTTGCTGAAACCACCACATTTCAAAATGATCCCCAGATTCAAATCCTGTGAAAAATAAATAAATATTTTTTTCTTTCCTCTTGCTTTGAAAGCAAATGAATTGTATGCATTTATTCTATATCATCCTATTCTTCCAGTTCATTTAATATACTACCTTTCTGCTCCATATTTAAAAATATTTCCAGTCCAACCTTTTCAGTGAATTACTGAATCAGGACTTCATCAGAAACAGAATTTTCAGCTTCCCTATTTAAGCTATGTTCTAACTCTAGCTCAAATAAAGAAAGCTGTTGTACAGAAACCATGATAGACTAAGCAAAAAAACTATTTGGAGCATGTGCAAATGTTTTTAAGAATAGAAAGCAGGGGAAAGAAAAATCAAATCAAAATGTTGATAACCTTTATCTTTTAGTCTAGAAATAAATGGAACCCAATATTGTACAATTTGGCCTTTAATATATAAACATATTTTATAACAGAAAATCCTAGTGACCAGCATTCATGCCCTCGTCACCTTCCATTTTGACTCCACAGGACTGCCCTTGAAGACCATCTAGAAACTGCAGGTAATGCAAAATGCATTTAATGGAAATAATCTGATATGCCACATAATATCAGTACTGCAGGAGCCGAATGGGATGGTGGTTCATTGCCAATTGCCCTGCAAGGCGATGGATGATGATGATGATGATGATGGATTGCTGCTGTTGGCCACACAATCAGCCAGACGTTTAAACTGCATTTGGCATTTTTATCCACCTATCGAGTCCTTCCCAAGGACCTGTGATAGGCAGATGTTGTTAAAGGTATCGTCCC